AAGGATTTGTATATATGCTTGCCTATCTACACGGCCTGAAATTTGGTGTGAGGTTGCGGGTATTGAATACAGTGTTAACTCCCACATGTGCCACGTTCGGTAAATTCCTTATAAACTTATGAGACGCGCGATCTGCGCTGCCTCATCTCTCTCTCGCGTGCGTTCTGCAGCAGCTGTGTGTGTTTTCCTTTGAAAAAGTTTCCCCAGAAATACTTCGTTATTTAATGCATTTTTCCTTACAAATTGTATTATCAGCATAACAATTCGAGTAAATGTGTAAAAGGTATGGCATGAATTTGCCATTCTTCTAGAACAATGTGCATTTATGTTAAAATTGTAACATACATTATCAAGTTTAGTTATTTTTATTTCTTTATTGCAAAACGCTAAAACTGGCACCGTTTTGGAGAGAAATGGGCTCTCATTTTAACCCATATATCATGGTGTTTGATGCTGAACTGAGTTTCTAATGGTGTTTGTACTTGAGTATATTTTTTCAGTACTCTTCCCACCACTGCCCTCAAGTCATCCTAGGTAGTGATGCAAAGTCTGATTCATTTCCGCTAACCGGTTCTTTTCGGACCGATCGGCTCATTGAACCGGCTCAAAAAGCGGATTCATCGGTTCCTGATGTCATCAAGCAATAACGTCTCTGCGCATTTATTTTCTAACAACTAAGTGCAATGTTTTATCAATGAAAAATTCAAATAAGTTATTTGTGTCAACACATATTGAAACATTCAAAAATAAAGTTATTTGTGTGTTTCACACCTACAAGCACACATTAAAGACATTGATGCACAAACGCGGATATGTTCTACATGTCTACTGTATAAAGAATGAATAAACCAGTCTTATAAACTTCTTTGTTTTCGCTTAAGCAACTGTAAATATAATATGCATGCACAATAAACTTTTGTCAAATTTATTTACATCACTTGACAGAAAGGTTTTAATAAAATGTAAATTAATAACAGTCATAATAAGCATATTTCCAGTATGCGCCAGGCTTCCAGGCTTGCACAGTGTCGTCAAACTCACTCATCAGAATCTTCGGTAATCCTCTGCAAACTTCGCCACAGCTCATTCGGTTCTTGTTGAGTCCTCGGTAATCCTTGGCAAACTTCGACAGTTGAAGTTGGCTCAATCGGTTCTTTTTGAGTTGGATGTGCTACTTTGGCTGTGCGTCCTGCGTCATCAACCCGGAACTAAAGTTTGATTCAGTTCGATTTGTGAACCGGCTCGACCGGTTACTTCCTGAGAACCGGCTCAAATGAACGATTCGTTTAAGAACCGAACATCACTAATCCTAGGTGTATATGACGTTCTTCTTTCAGACGAATCCAGTCGGGAGTTATATTAAAAATTGTCTTTGATCTTTCAAGCTGTTTAATGGCACTCAGCGGGTGTTGCAGTGCATCAGTCCAAAAGAAGTGAAATAAAAAGCGCCCATCCATAAAAAAAAGTGTCTCACACGGCTCTGGGGGGTGAACAAGGGCCTCCTGTAGCGAATCGATGTGTTTTTGTAAGAAAAATATCCATATTCAAAACGTAATAATCATTTTAATATAGCTTGCGCCAACACGGAAGCAGCTCCGGGAGGATGACGTATGAGGTCAGCGTTGGCTGTTTCAGTGCCCCTCCTCTCTCACGCACCCACTCCTGGGGTCAAATATCGAGCTCCCCCAATGATGCTTCAGATTGGATGCTTGCATAAGGAAACTATCACTTTTCTGGTACTGGAGGGACCCACCGTGGACATCATCCTGGGATGCACCTAGCTGAACCAACAATCTCCAGAAGTCAGATGGGATCCCTGTGAAATTACTTGCTGGAGCGAGGCTTGTCATCAGAATTGTCTATCCGCGGTTCCCAAACCGCTCTCGGCCCCTGTTAACCACCAAATCTGT